ATATATTGGGTCTATTTCAAAGACAGCATTCTCAGTGCTCTGCCTGGTGATTTCTTTATCCTCCCAGGTGCTGCATTGCCACTGACAAGCTAAGAGTCAGTGTTTTGGCCCAAGGCCTTCCTCAAGGAGGCTGGCATATATCCATACAAGGACAATGCAACACCTGTAGTAAGAAAACAGAAGTACAGAAATGGGATGTTCTTTTGCACTGTAGAAAGCTTTCATTGTATTTATTGCACTATTTTTTTTTCAGATGCAAAAAGCCAAGTTGTGTACAGAGGCATAAACCATAAAATGGAAAACCAAAATTATCAATACTGTTCAATATTTAGCAAATTTGCTTTATTTCATATAGTTCACATCATCCAGGCAACATCTCTTTTAATTCAGTGTTGAATAAAACATTTACTTGAAGTCATGGAGAAAAAGAATAATGGCTATTTTGTATTAAAGTGTATAGAACATGAACTATGTATTTATTATGACAACGTATCTGTCTACAGTGACACATTATTCTTGTCTGGGCTTACTGAATCAAAATGACAAATATAATTAAAAAGTCAAACTCTCACAGAAATTTAACTATATGGGTTTTTCTAAATATTATCCATCTACATCAAAGGAAAATCAAACCCAAATATTCAAGCAGTTATTCTAATGAGAAAGCAATATCAGGTAATTGTGAAGTTTATGTTCAAGTTAACAAAATCTAAATGATTATTAGGTACCTCAAGAGTAAGTCAAAGGTGTATCCCCGAACTAAAGATACTGCATCTGAGAATGACAGCACGTATCTGACAATTTGAAACAGTTAAATGTTTGTACTAAGACAGATATATATATTTGTTAAAAAATATACAATTTCAATCATGGGAAACTGCACTTTAAAATAGAAAATACTCCAAACTGGTGTATACATAGATTTCACCATGAGTTTCAATCACAAAAATCTTGACATTTCAGGATCAGGCCACTGACACAGACCCAACAATATCTGAATTATTTTAAGTTAGTATTACAAAGGGTGAACAAATCTTGACAGTGAACTGTTCTATTAAAACAGAGAATGGGATGGAAAGTTCTTCAGTTTGATTTTCTACTTCAAGGATTGCTTGAGGTAAAACACTCTAATGATACTAAAATTTATTTTCAGACTATTCTGATGTCTTTGTAAAGAAAACAAAATGCTGTCGTAAATGGAGAATAAAATGGTATGACTTCATAAGCAATGAAATACAGATGTAGCAAAGGTACCTGGTGTGGTGCCGATTTTCCTTAGATGATTCTATGTCTTGAACTTAAGAAAAACAAAACTATAAATTCTGTATGAAGGAGATAATGCATCAAGATTTCGATGTAGGATAGTTTATTACCTAAAGAAGTATGTACAAATTCTAAACATGAAAATAGTAAGTAAAAGAAATCAGACTCTATTTACACTTTTTTTTACAAATGTTTTTACAAATGTATTTTTTTTTCCCTAAATAACAGGACAAACACATAAGACCAATCTTTCTGTATTACATACATAAATAAATACTGATTTAAAATGAGTGCTATAGGATCATAATTTCTACAGCCAATTTGGGTAACAGAGAAGCAGTTCTGTTATCTCTAGTACAATATAATTAAGTCAGAAGGAAAAATTTTACATATAGAGCTCTGTTAATTAATTTGTAAATTGTACCTTATTAATATATTCAGTAGAGGTAATACAGTCATTACATTTCATGCCCACAACTGAACAATGAGTTTTGGCATGCAAAACCATATATAATCATCAACATCTGTAGGTATTCATTTACATTTTTTTTTAAATAAAGGGTTTTCTTAATTATTTTAAACTACATGCAACAGCTTATTAGCATCATATTCCTGGTTACAATTTACAATGCACAAGTTTGGGTAACATTATTTTTAGTAGTTGAAGTTCACAGGTGCACCTCAAAAGGGTATATGTACTTGGCACATAATATGAGAAAATGAATTAATAAATAAGTCAATATCACGACATTTACATATACACAAGACTAAAGTAAAATGTTTCATGGTGGTGTACACAGAATTTAGAACTGTCTGGGTCTCACACCTTGTTCTGTAAGGTCCTGATTTAAGACAGTATTCAAGCAAATTTTGACATTTGTGCTTTATTCAAGGCATTGCTAAAGCTCATTCTTAACTGCACAGGTTTACTTCGATCCCACTGACTTCTTTCATATATATATGAAAGTTTCCTCTTCTGCACACCTTCCTAAATCGGGGCCTGCTTATCTGAAATTCCCTGGCTCCAGTTGGGAGCATGGAGATGAAAGCACTGGGGAATAAATTGACTTAGTATTAAAGATTCTACGCAGTTCTGCTAATCTGAATGGTAAAATTCTCAGTCAGATTAGCAATGAATATTTCTTTATCTGTCTGTGTGACCATGTCAAACATTAATGTCAATGTTAGCATTGCCACATAATGTCCTCAGCTCTTTCTGAAGCCATTAAGTCGAGCATGTTCAGCATTCCAGAAGTCAGACCTCTTGTTTATTGTCTATGTGCTATATTCTTAATGAATATTCAAGATTATACATATACAAATACACACAGAACAAGCTCTGTCTTATTTGAGTTTCTCCTGCTCTATAAGCAACTCAAAACAGGTGAAAAAACAAAGAATAAACCATTCTCTTCTTAAAAAAAAATCACTGATGAACAAAAAAAAAAAAAAGTCCACTTCAAAAAGCAGGTAGCAAAAACAGCATACTCTTATAATTCTGTTTAAAGAAATAAAGATAAAATGCATCCTGAAGTCAAGAGACATATTAATCAGAATCGTACATAGCAAATAATACATCAGTGTAAAGGTGCAGAGTACCTAGAACCGTCCCAATGTCTATATTAACTCTGTATTACACAACGTCATTAGAGAAAATAAATCTTCAACTAGTGAATCAAATAGCTCTATTGCCAAATTAAATGTTTAATGACTTATGCTAGTAAATTAGGACAATACCCTGTAAAATTCAGCAAACAAGGCTTTATGAATTAGGCACTAACAACTCCAAATCTGTACTGCTAAATTCAAAGAATAATAAGGAAAACACTGACAGTTGGAAATTTAACATCCAGGCATGAGCTTTGTTGACTTCGTATTATTAATTTTTGATTTGGAGGGTGACTTAAGAGCTGAGTTTATATGCTGGTTTGCAAAAGGAAAAAAATAATTTACATCTTAGTGGACTCTACATAAATACACTGGTTCAATGCAACTCTATCAACATTTTTTTTAAATTTCCAGATTCTACTTTAAAAGGGAAAACCATACCATGCTCTTCAAAAATATATTGTTATTTTTAGAAGCTGAATGCTTCAAAGAGACTGGCATCAGCAAACAGTAACTCTTCTCATTCATTTCAGAAGCATGAGTCTTCCCCTCAGCAACCAAGACTAAGGGTATGATCACTCAGGGCTACTAACTTCCAGTTCATCTCCAAGACAGATCTGATATCATTGTAATAAAGATGGACATTTGTGTTCTACGCTTTACAATGTCACTGTAAATGAAACATAATTTCATTAACATTAATCAAGTCACTGCAGATTTGCTTCAGCATAACTAGAATAGACTGTGATTGAAAGCTTTGGATAGAATATTTCAAAGAAGCCCGAGGTAATTATTTTCCCTGATCCCAGTGACTCCTGCTCTCAGCAAACATCATGGCGATCATTTCTAGCCTTACCTATGTCTTGTGCAATTTAAATGTCAAAATCCTGCACACCAGTCACATTCAAATTGTGTTTTCTTGGTAAAAATTTATACACACAAAACATTTCCATCCTGTCAAAAAAACTCTGAGAATCTGGCTTTCTGCCAAAATTTAAAACAAACCTTTATAACAACAGGTTTTATGAGAAAGAGTTCACCCTTTTATTTCCTAATGTATTTTGGAAAAGGGGAGATGACAGAATGATAGAGGAAGGAATTATAAGTACCATAGCCTTTAACATTTTTAAAACTACTGTAAAAAGCCAAAACCATGTAGCAATAGAAAATGTCTGCAAAAGTTCTTGGTCACTGAGTGCATATCTAAAAAGACAACAACTGAAGTAGAAATAAAATGGATGGGGAAAAGAAGCCCTTTAAAATCAAAGATAGAAATGTAGGAAAACTAGAATAAGCAAAAAATTAACTCAGCTTCCTTTACCCCTGTGTTATTAACCCACAAGAAACTAAAAGCTACAAACTTTAGTATAGACAAACTGTATTTGAATATTTTGTGAACACTCTACTATGATAAACATAACTCTGATCCTCAGTTTTGGGTATGTATTTGTTTTTTTTCATATTTGCTTTCCACAAAAAACTACCAAAAGAAGGAAAGTATATTTAGCACTAAAGGCTGAGCTTCTCACACTGACTATCTCAGGCAAATATGAAGTACAGGTGAGTCTGTAGCATCTGCTGGTAGAAAAATTGGCCAGTTTGACTCCTGCGAGTTTGGAGTATTTTATCCTCATATGATGATATGGGGAACAATGGAAATGGTGTCAAAGAATGCAAGAGCATGTTGAACATCCCGAACATTAGAAGCTGATTATAAGTATCTGTATGAACATTTATTGGCAGATACTTTCCATCCTCTCGATAATAAATCTATACAGTTTCTGTTTACCGTTGAGGTATGTCTCTCTGTGTGGCAAATTATCTTAGACAGTTTATATTGCACAATAAGGCAATATGAATTCCCTTATGGTTAAAAAGGGCACCCTTCTGTCTAAATTTGAAAAATGCATTCAAATAAACTATAAACTAATGTTTTCCAGATGCCAGAATATAGTCACATAATTCTTTCTGTAAGCAGAACAGCAGAATAGATCCAATACATCCATCCTTCTGTTCAAAAGATCCATGGGGAAAAGAAATATGCGCACCAAAGTCAAAGCCAAAAAGTAGCTCTGCAGATACTTGAATAATAAATGTGCCTCAGAATTTCAGTTAATTTTAACTATTCATCTCGAAATATCATATAAAAAAATTATAAATGTGATTTCAAAAGTAGGGCCTATCAATTAATTGTATAAATCACCATTAATTTTCAACAATTCTATCAATTGCCATTTGTTTCTTTACAATGGTACATCTACCTTGTATATATTTTAGCTATTAACTATGTTAACAGAAGATCTACACATAAGAACATTACTATTTCAGAATAGATAGGTGACACAAATGTATCGTCATCCTCCTCTGTGGTGATACTGCAATTACCAAATACTGACTATTTTAGGGCTTCTGCTACTGTTATTATTTTACTTATGTCCTTATTTCAGACTTATGGAGATCTTCTTTAATAGCAAAATACACTAGGACTTAAATTTGTGACAGGCAAAGCTTTAGTAAAATAGATCATTTAAATATGCTGATGAGAACATGGCCTCCAGTGTTCAAAAGTATGTATACACCACAGGACAATCTTGCAAATGTTAATGTTGGAGTCACTAAGAGAAAAAGCTGCATATGCTGCACCATTTCAATCTACTTTAAACACAGAAATGCAAAAAAAATGTTCATTATAATGAACAAACTTCTGATTTTCTCACAGGTGTTGAGTTGTATGCAGTCTTCAGTTTGTGGAATAGTGGTGGTCATTAAATGATACTTGCTGTATGCTTTATCCTGGTCTTGGTGCAATTACAATTTTTCATGACTAAACTACAGAGAAGTAGATACAGATCATACAGGAAGGTAACTTCCACTGGAAAATCGGTTTCATTGCTTCTACAGACGTGCCTTTTCCCAGACTTCATTTGGGAGCTCAGTTTTTTTCTCTTATCCATATAACCATCTGAAACAGTCTAATATTTCTCTGGGGGTGGCTTATAGTGATGTGGATGATGTTGCTTCAGATGAGGTCCTAAAAAAAGAATAAGAAAATATTCATGTATCAAACCCTGAATATGTAATACCAACATTCAGCATTACTAAATAGGCTTTGTGAGGCCTTCAGCTGGCAATCCTTTATAAGTGAACAGCCTGTGTTGACAACTATGTGCATGTTAAGTGCAGACAACTTTAGTGAGACTGTGAAAAGACAAAAAGATTCAAGAATCTTGGACTAGTTCATTGGATTTTTTACTTTGCTTTATCACACTGGGATGTACTTTTCAGAAATACACAAAATGCTGAAAATGGCCATTAAGATGTTTGAACTGCTTTATAAATATGATCAGGCTTTAGTCATGCTGGACTGAATGCACCCAGCAGAATTTAATCTTGAAAGCTGAGGAATCCCAAGCCTAACTAGTACTTGGAGGACAGACCAGCTTTGAACCCCAAGTGCTACAGGCGTAAGCCAAAGGGCTGTGCAGGAATGAATGGCAAACATCAGACCACAGAAACTGACTGAAAGATTGCATGTGCTTCCATCATTGCTTGGTATGGTGGGGGGGAACGCCATATTATCACACATCTTCAGTTTATGGAATGCTGCTGACATCAATAAAGACTCTGAGGCTCAAGCAAAATGTTTACATGTGGACCACTGAAGTTTTGTAACATACAACCACATGTCAAAATGGTGTAGAACTTACTGTGGGGTGAAAATAGAGGAAGGTCGGGTGTTCGAAATGATTTTATTGTAGCTGGCCCTTCCCCACCAGTTGTCAGCACTTGAACTTCCAAGCGGTACAGCATTGATGGCCTCAGATTGGGCACAGTAAGTACATAATGATCCTAAAATAAATAAATTGCATTAATCCTCAAAGTATCTAAAAATACAACACGGTTGCTCTACTCACAAAAATCAGTTGTTTAAACAGGTTCTGTCACTCTCAGTACTGACAAATCATTTTCTTAGAAATACATTAAAAGAATTTAATGTATACATCACTCCATTGAGAGTGAGAGGACTTGTTCTGAATTTTTTGCCTGACATTCTCTTTGAGAAGACATTTTTTACCATAATATTATGGTTGCATGTGTATGAGGTCCAAATTGTTCCTTACTGTTCTGGAAAGTGGATGCTCATCAGAAAAAAAAAAAAAAAAAAGAAGTAACTTCCTAATCATTGCTTTTAACAAACATGTTCATTATATAAATCTGTTTTTATGTTGGATCTGCTTGGGAGTTCTACTAATTGGTAAATTAATTAATGGCAGGCCTAGGGCCCTTGCTGCAGCTAGCAAAAGTAAGTGTGATTTCAGGTTTGTCCTAATTACACCGTAAGAATTTGCCTTCAGTTCTTAATCCCATTTCTGGCATGATGGACTCACTTTTCAGTGCTCCATAACTTTCATGGTCACATTTGTGCAAAATAAGCACTTTTCAGCTGAAACAGGAAAGATTCAGATTAGATATTAGGATGAGATTCTCCACTATGAAGATGATGAGGTACTGGCGCAGGTTGCCCAGAGGAGCTGTGGCTGCCCCATCCCTGGCAGTGTTCAATATCAGGTTGGAAGGGGTTTTGAGCAACCTGGTCTAGTGGAATGTATCCCTACCCATGGCAAGGGGTTTGGAACTGGATGAGCTTGAGGGTCTCTTACAATCCAAACCATTGTATGATTTTATGAAAATAATTTCAGAGTAAATTTAAAAAAAAAACACTCCTAAATGGGAATATATCTGGCTCAAGACTAACCGGTATTAAGGAATTAAAAGTTCTGCTACATCTTATTCCAAGCTGGAAAGGCCCAGTCCCAGGAAGCAGACAACAGGGCAGTGATGCTGAACATTGTGAGCAAGGTGTGCTCCTGCAACCATCCAGGCTGGGCTGGGCAGCAAATTGAAAGGCATGTTCTTCTGGTTGGCTATGCGGGGAAATCTAAGTAAACTGTGGGAATAACTGGTAATTTGCTGTTGCTGAATGAGGGGGAAGAGAGAGAAAGAGGAGCGCAAACATCACATTCATACGCTCACTCTGCTAGTTCAGGTGCTCCTCTGGCAGTTGGGACATGCGCGTTTCAGCCCTGGTTGTGCAAATACTGAACTTTTATCAACCAGAGGCTATCAAAGAGAATGAGTGAAAGATCCTCACCACAAAATACCTATGTCCTGGTGATTTCTGAGAGGTAGGAGATACTGTTTCAACTCAAGTCAGTTTTCTGCAAGTTAACCAGTTGCCATAGACAAAGACAGATAAATAGATAGATAGATAGATAGATAGATAGATAGATAGATAGATAGATAGATAGATAGACAGATAGATAGATAATTAAATAAAATTAATCTCCAGGCTCTACAGTAGTGAAACCAGAGGACAATAAAGATAAAAAATTAAAGCAAAACACAATGCAAAGGAATGTTTTAAATAAAACATTATACGTATTTCAGACCTAACTGGACCTTAAAAGCTTAAAAAAAGGAATAGAAATGCTGAATAAAACATATGCCTGTTCCTAATAAAAAAGATGAAAACAAATGTGTAAATCAACATCTCATGGTCTTTAACTTTGCTTATTATTTTGTTAAGTGGCTGTAGTGTGCCCCATAGTTCTAAGGAATCCATGGTCAACTTTGTTGCTCTTCTGCAGAACAACAGGCTTTGAAACATGGGTACCCTATAGCCCTTGGTCAGCCTGCTAGGAATTAAGACAGAATGATGAGAACCTTGCCTTAGATTTGTGAAAAATGCATTAAATGTAATACATATCCAACAAAACATTCCGCACATTTTTTGAGGAGACAAATGTTAAAAGGTTTTCAGCAAGTTCTGCTCCAGAAACAATTGCCTTGATCCACTTTCCTAAAGTGAATGGGAAGACACCCAATGTTATTAGCAGACCTTGGATCAAGGCCAGCTGCTAAATCCTTTTGTTGACTGGTGGATCTGGTAGCAAAGTCTGAATGAAGTGCCATTCACCTGCCTCTGCCAGAGGAGGAACTGAAATAGCAAAGGCCATCTTAAAGCAAATAGGAGGAAGAATTCAAATTATTAATTCTTGCATTTCCAATGAACAGTGACATCTAGTTCTCCTTTAAATTATTTGTCCATTGGACAATGTTGCATATTGGCAGACGGCAAAGTGATTTTTATTTTTCTTAGAGCAGTGATACAAAGGAAGAGAAAATTCTTTTATATCCGTTGACTTGGACACCAAATAATTAGTAAAACCATAGTAACTGCCAAGTTGAACAGCCTGATCATCAAAAGAAAATAAAAAACATCTATTGCCACACAGATGATCTTTTCCTCCCTTCAGGCATTTCTCAGACAATTGTTGCTAATTTGACAACTGTGCACATTAAAATGTTTGATGTGTCATTAAGATGAGTAGCTCTGCTTTCTAGCTCCAGCAAGTAGGAAAAATTAAGCACTTCCTGCTCTAACTTGCCTGCAGAGCCAGAGAATGCTATGTGTGACATCTGCTTCACCACTAACATTAAAAATACACACACACTTATGAAGCCACCAGCAAAGAAAGTAATAAACAACTTACTGCTGGCAGTATCTGTGACTGTGAAATGATGCTGTTGGGTAAGCTGTTCTGCCGGCTTTCTGTGGTTACTTCTGCCCAAGTGACTTGGAACCCTGTCATGGGCTGGTGAAGGTCTGCCTTGGATATCTTCCAGGAAAAATGGCCAGTGATGTTACCTTCCTGAACAATGAAAGACGCAGATAGATTCTCGGGTTTGGCCAACACTTTGGGTAGAACTGGCACTATAAATTTGGAAAGCAAAAAAGATAAGCTCAACTTCGAGAGATAATGTTCAATAAAGTTCATTTAATTCCACAAATCAAGGACAGATAGAGCTGCCTTTCTGGTGTTACCAGGATTCTGCCAACTTTCTGGCATCAGACTGTCAGTGTTAACCAAAGTCTACCTTTGATGCAATCCATTGGCATTTTTGGGCCAAATTCAAACTTCAGATCAAATGCTTTCAGCTGCAGGTGACAGAAAGGAAAGCCTGTGGCATGTAAAGATATAAATGCCTCATTCACAGGCAGCCATCCTCCTTCTCCACTGTATTTCAGAATACCTGAGCTCAGATTTTCAGTTTTGGGACCTCAAGAAAATCCACAGGATAGCACAGAACTCCATGATGCAAGCAAAAAGTGAAAGTCATGCTCTAAAACTGAAACAGAAGCTAACAGGGGGACTCTGATTAGGGGAAACATAAGCCTTAGTTGCAGTTGCCCAGGAAGGCTGCAGTGCTGGAAACTGTCAAGAGGGGTGGTGAGGAGATGGCAGTGGTGGCCAGCAGGGCTCTGAGGTGACCCACAGAGCATGGGATACCCTTGGGGATACTAGGGACTCAAACTGCGAGTGTCACCCTCTAAATGAAGAGAGAGGTTCCCAGACTTGGCTGTGCAAAGCCATGGTTGACTTGACCAAGTGCTGGCAACAATCCTGCTTCAAGCGGGTAGCTGGATTAGCTGACTCTAGAGGTCCTTGCCAACCAGTATCTCTGTAATTCTGTGATTTCCATAACCTTCCATCTGTACCTACCATTGTGGCATCACTGTGAAAGATATGTGTCTGTATTTGTTATTTGAGAGTAGAATTAACCTAAATAAAATCAAACTGCTTTGAAAAAGCAGCTTGCATCAGTAGCAAAACATGCAAAAGATGGGTCATGCCAGTATAATTATGTTTACAGTTATTATCCATCATTACAATAAATGTTCCTCCTTACAAAAATAAAAACTGTCAAATAACAAATGTCATGTTTTTAAATAGCCCACTAAAATTATCACGTAACTGACAAGACAGTAATATACTAGCCAAAATCTATACTGCTCTGTATTTTAGTAGATTTTTCACGTAGGCACCGGTCATATTTTTATTCTGAAACTTTCATTTCCAATTTTAGAATAGCTTTAAAGGCTTTTTTTTTTATTTATTTTATGATTTGAAACTATTTGGCTAGTTCTCCAGATCATGCCTTACCTCCTTCAGCAGGACAATTAATGTGCTTGTGGGTTTTTTCTTTAAATGCAGAGCAAGATGGGGTAACAAAGAAAATACTCTCAGCCTTAAAACGACCTTTAGAAGTTGCAGGCAAAATAGTTACTTTATATTTGCATGAAAATGACAGGTCCTTCAGAATCATGTAGTTTTCCTACAACAAAAAAACAAAAAACATCACATGGTGCAAACAGACCTCTAGGAAAAACAAACAAAAAAAACAAAACAAACAAACAAAAAACAAACAAAAAATCACCAACGTTGGCAGAAGATGAAACATTTTTTCCACTAATTTCTGCTACGCTTAACACACGTCAACATGGCTTTTAGTCAGAGAACAAAGCAAACACTGCCTACATCATGATTATTTTCAGTAGTATAATATATTAGCATGGTGTTTGGATATGTCCTTCAATTCTACACAGTTCCTTTGCCATGCTGCATCAAAGCAACTGGCTTCTAACATTTAGAACAGTCTTTCTGACATGATAGAGTGGGAGTAGCAATGTGAGGATGTAAATGCTAGTTGAATTAAATAAATGTAAGAAAGCTGAGTTAAGCTGCTGTAAATGACAGGCTTCATCTACATTCAATTTTTTAAAAGTACATTCAAAGTCCAGCACGTCATTAAGGATCCATTTTTTTTTCTGCTTTACTACATTAACTACTTCTCTCTTCTTGTCAGGAAGAAAAGCTTCCCAGCTGAACTACAAAGCACATGTCTCCATTTAAAGACAATAACCAGAGAAGAAAACTTTACACAAAGCATAAGTGTCCTGCTAAATTCATCTTGCTGTCTAAAGCACTTTTGAAAATCAAAGCCTGAAAGCTTTAGGAGAAATCATATATGAGAGAAAAATGTGGGGTTTGTTTTTTTGTTTGTTTGTTTTGCTTTTTTCCTGGGAAGATGTCCAATAATACCTTACTGTCTAAGGTCAAAAGTCTTTCACTGCCTTTTACGTCTTTACTTCCCTTCAAAATCACTATTTTCCAGTGTTCTTCTACATAGACACTTTTTTCTAATGCCAAATTGGATTTGTCTAATGTTCACTTGGAAGGTCATTTTCATTGAGACATAGAGATGGGGCTAAGAATGAACTTGACTCCCCTTCCATCTGCCAGAAGAGTGCTCTAACAGGCTTGACACCTCCTTTGGACTATTTTAATTTATTGTGACAGGGTCTAAATGCTCAACACTGGATACGTAAAGCCTTTATTCACCTTGACCTATCACATCCAGTACCAAAGATTTTGTAGCATCCCCCTTCTTCTGTATGCTTGTAGCTAGATTCTCCTCCTTAAGAAATAGTTCCCCAAAGTAGATTAGACCAACTACTGTAAGATGATTGAGAGGAAACAGAATCGTGGAATCATGAAATGATTAGCGTTGGAAATGAGCTTAAGATCATCTAGTTCCAACCCCCCTGCTATGGGCAGGGATGCCTCACCATAGACCACGTTATTTTAGCCTCTGTCCAATCTGGCCTTGGACACTGCCAGGGATGGAGCATTTACCACTTCTTTGGGCAGCAATAATGAACTAATCCCATAATGCATGTCGACAAATTTACAAAGGTATTTTCTGACCTCTAGCGGAAATAAACTCCTTAAATGTCAAATTTCTCCTATCTTCAATGTGCATAACTTGAAATATTGTGACTGATCATAACATTATGTCACAATCATTTTTTTAATCCACATCTAATAATTTGCTTTGCTGACCCCATGAAGCAGTAAATCTTACAAGTTAACAGTCTCCTGCATGGGAAGTGATGTCTTTTGACTTACTGTACTTCTACATACCATTAACTCCACTGAATTGATCTCTAGTACATGTCAGGGTAAGAAGGAAAGGTGAAATGTGATTTCTGCCATTCTCCATAACCCACTAAATCAATTGTGATGCACCAACCACATTACAATGTTGTTCAAATGCTTTATAGAGACAGATGACACTAGATTGCCAACAAATTGAGTATGAAGAACTGTCACTGCAATATATATTTGGGCTGACATGTACTTACATAGAGCTTTTCTTCTTATCTGATACCTGCCTGACTTTCAGATTTAATGTCTAGTATTTTTCAGCTATGTCCCTTTTTTCTTATTCTATTACTGCCCTCAAGTTTGTGAACCCCACCTGCATGTCTAAAAGAAAACTTAGTTTATTAATTACTATTATTACTGTTCAGTATAGGCACTCTGCTGGAGCCCTACAGTACTAATTATAGATAAAGCTCCATGTTCTGTATGTTCTAGAGATGCAGATGTACTTAGAAGTTTGTTTGCCACTTTCATTTCCTAACTAACACTGACAAAAACAACAAAAAATTACCCTAGTATGGATTAAAAAAAAACCCAAACAGTCCAGATGCATTATCTTTTGTCAAAGACGAACATAAAGAAGAAACATCCTTATTTATCTGTGAAGCATGGTATAAATCATACTATTTAGAAGCTATTCAGAATCAAGCAGAAGGCTGAATGGACACTTACATAAGTCAGCTCTGTTACTTTCCCACGTCCTTTGGTGTCATTGTGCACACAGGACTCCAGTAACCAGTGGACTTGGAATTGATTCATGCTGGTATCTGAATGATATAAAAAGAGAGAAAAAAACATATAACTATGCTTTCACCATTTAAACTTTTCTGGCTTCTCTGGATAAAAATGGGAGTTTTAACTATTGCAGAGATGGTAGTTCCTCACTAGAATGGAGAAAATATTACATACTTACGTAATTTAAAGCTTATGTCAGCTAATGGAGATAAATCAAAAAACATGAATTGGCATTTTCTGATATATAAGAATATACTGCTTACATTTTTTTCTTAAATCAAGCATTTATATTGAGCATTAAAAAAAGTAACCTTAATGCTGCTACTTCTAAACATCCTGCAAATTATGGGAATGACTTTGTGTCAACTGCCTGTGACTGTTTATATTGTCAGCATCACAACACTGCTGCCTGGCATGGCTTGAGAAATCTGTGCCTGAAGATATGTGACAATGTCTGCAAATCCCTGAACTTTCTTCTTTCAGAATACATCATAATAACTATTCAGCTTCTGTCCAAATAAAATTCTAGTCTCGACTCTTAGGAATAACACCAAATGCTTGAGTTTGCTCCCATTTAAATCAATGACAAAACTTGCTGCAGTATCAATTGCATAAGCCTTCAACCAATTTCCAGCTCTTTTAGCTTCTTGTCTAATACTGATTGCATAAGGAAGCAAAACAAAGGGCAATAAAGAATTAGATGAAAGAAGAAAATCTCATCAGGTAATGCAAATACATCCTGTCATTTTTCTGGATTTAGTTCTCCTCTATCTTTATACAGGGGATACAAAATTATGTCTCTTATTATTAATTAGCTTGGTATGACACAGCCACTAATGCCAAGTCCCTAATTGTGGGTTTCAGGAAGGAAAACAAATATCTTTGATGCCTTAAGGGCTGATCTGACATTAGACTGCTATGAGTAATTTGGATGCAGAAGGGAAGGATTGTAAATGAAATAGAAAATAAGTAGTGTCTGAAACTAGCTCAAATGGCATCGTGGTAAAAAGACTGATTAGAAGCTCCTTGAAATAGATCTTTGCAGCAGCTATCATCATAACAACATATGTACTAATTGTGTAATTTCTCTGGAAACTCAATTTACTTTTTTTTTCCCAAAAAGAAATCTATAAAGAAATAACTGTCCTGTGATTGTTCCCTCCCATTTAAAAATAAAATTGATGTGCTTTCACTTGCCTCTTAGATGCTGAACTTTCCCACCTGATGTGCCTATTGGATGAAGACACAAACTCACAGAGCATTTATAAGTAGGTTTCATCTGATTTAATCTCTTTCAGTTCATTCAGTTATTGCCTGTCATCTGCTTGTGTCCCTCTCCTGGGACAAAAAAACAGAATACCTAGCTTCTTGAGACCTGAAAACTTTGTGCTGCTATATTAATCATGCTATATTAACAATGTACACTCTATGCCAGTTAAACACAGTGAATGTGTTATTGAGTGTATATTATCTGATAATCACAATTTATAACTATCTGCACGTAACGTGGGCTGCTCTCTGTAGAGCTAAAAAATGGCTATTTTCACTTGCAATCCATTAAAAAAATCACTCTTTCTTTGGTAGACATTATCCAAACAAATTAAGCCTTGCCATAATCCAGCCATTAAGAACTGGATAAGACACATATCTCAGGTAGGTCACTAAATATCTCTTGATGGGCAAACATTTTAAAATAAGTCTCAAACATCAAGAGGTTACAACAGTTCAGCATCCAGATACACTTGTGTAGAGATTTGCTAAGCCTCTGCCTAGAAATGTAATTAAATAGATTGTAACCCAAGATATTTGGTATTTCCAGCTCCTGGCACAGCAGCATTTTGTTGGATTACAATGCAGCTCCACCTCCATTGCTTCTGTGAGCTTCTGCTCTTGGTCATTCTCTTCTTTCCTACTTCTCCTCTCTTGCACTAGCAAACCCTTTGTAACCCATCCATAAATAGCTGTGGTTTCTGATACCTTCTCTCTTTGAACTAGAAAATTAGCAAGAAGTTATTGTTATTAATTTCACTTTCTATCAACTTGGACTGTAAATGTAGGATGAAGATTTCCATTTTATAAGTACGTATTTAAGCAAAGTGAACAAATATTCTTATATTTGATAGTGCTCACAACTGATAGCCTGATAACCTATTTTCAGTGTGCATGTAATTAAGTTATTTTAGAAAGGTTTTTGCATACATATATACAACCACATCAACTGCTATAAACTGTAATGCATCACGACAGCACCAGCTAAGTCTAAACAGAACTTTCCATTGGAGCAGGCTTTTTTGACTTCCATAATTTTTTTTTTTAAGACTAAAAATTCTTCAGTTCTAATCTCTGTCTTCGTGACTGCTGTTATCTGAAAGACTTGAACATAAGCATGCTAATTGCTTTTTGTTAAAAAGAAGAATGCAAAAACACTTGACAACAATACAAACAATTTTCTCCTTTTAAAAATTCTCTACTGTCAGGAATAAAGTCTGCACAATTTGGGTTGCAATACTGAAATATTATAAGGAAGTAGCTCTTAAGATAGAAACTTTAAAAAAATAGAAAAGGTGGGACATTCTAGTTAGAAGCACAAAAAGCTCAGCGTATGTGCATGCATGAAGTACGCGTATTAAGAAACAAGATTCGTTTAGAAATTATCTTTAAATTTTTTGAGAGCAAAAGGAGACAAGATGTATGGGATGATTTAAAAAGCCACATAAGAGACCTAAAAAAAAAAAAGGATGAAAATACTCATTTGTTTTAGAGTTGCTCATAAAGCTCATGGCTCTAGAGATTCACTTTTAGCAAAAGAAAAGCTTCTCCCTGCCTCCCATTCAGTAATAGACACTATCCTAGTGAAATCACTACTATAATCTTATTTAATTTTTGTTTTCAGCTGTCCATTACCAACTCAGTGGTAGGTCCTGGACCAGCTGTCCAAGCTGCAGTCTAGCTGAATGCCAGCCACTGCACCAAAGCTAATGGTTCTGAACAAAGCCCAGCTAAGTTGAATACAGTGCAGGCCACAGCCACATCTTTTTCTGAAAAGTCATTTCAGTAGTTAATATTAACAAAATATCCTGTATCTAATGGGGCTGCTTTTGGCCAATTTATTGGAAAGCATAACACTGAAAAGAAACTGCCTTCAGTTTCCTTCAGTCTGGTTCCCTGATATTCCAGCTGTCACAGTATAAAGCCTTTTTGTACATAATCAATCTCCTTAATAGTTCAGAGTTTTCTTGAATCTGTACTTCCAATTAGGAGTCTTTATAACTTCATTGTTCTCATGGCTAGAAAGTATACTGTTTGACACTAAAAAGACTGGTGCTTGCACAAAGAGCAAGCTTTCATATTTCTCAGAACTCAAAATATTTGTATAGAAACAGTAAACTTGAAGGACATACTAAGTGCTAGCACTCATTTGAGCACTTTCAAGCTTGTGAAATTAGTCAACAGAATGGTCACTTAAGTCAGAACTCTGTAAAGGACTATTATGGCAGACAACTTATTTAAACAATTAAGGAAAAAAAAAAAAAGGCAAACCAGGAAAATCACTTTAAAAATTTCTTAAAGTTACTGACAGGGAAATGATCTCCTTCTGCCCAAGCCAAAGATTTTTAGATCCTTCAGACAGGTGCACAATGCTTATCTTTTCAAATAAACTAATAGCGAATATTAATTATTTTGGCTATGATTTTTAAAGTCAATTTTCTGAAGTATCAAATGAGTTCCTAGACTTAAGAAAACATTCCTATACAAACATCACATGAACATATTCTTAAAATTCCATATATGCTTAGCTCTTTTGCTGAACAAGACTATGCAGCTAACTTTGTTGGACAGAAATATTAAATCTCTAACTAGAAATCTCTTGATTAGGGAATGCTCTAAAGCGTGTTGAAAAGATACCTGTTTTGATTTCCTCCCTCATGTTTCACCCAAACCCACCCTTAATTTCACATTAATATCTCCACAAAGCTATCACTCTATTGATTATATTTAGGAAGATGTTCTTCACCAGATATTTCTGCTTTCCCTACCCCCGTCACCTCAAAATTTTTAGTTTCATTTTAATAAAATTACATAGATATATTTAAGATTTTTCTAGGGGTGAAATGCACATTTATTCTGTAGTTTTAAGCTGTAAAAGCAGCTCAAATTCCTATTAATGACAATGACAAATACATTTTTTTACCTTTGAAAAGTTCGGGTTCATATGCACAATTTAAGCATCTTAGATTGAAAAGTTTTGCTTAAAGTACCACAACATCTCCTAAGCCAGAGCTGCATGACGATCAATAGGAATGCCACAGGCCTACATTCTACATTTGTTAAATCTCATAATCTCCCAACAGAATTGAAGCTCTGAGACCCATTCAGAAAAATCACCCAACATAATGCTAGGTAACTCTGCAGCTTTTTGTAGCTGGAACTTCTGGTTTTAGTGGTTCTACAGTTTATGGAAAATAAACTAAATAAAAAAGTGATCTTTTTCCTTATCTTTGTCACATTTCTGTTCTGAAGTACATTTCCATTACTGTCAACCATGTGAATAACCTCATCTAATGTGGTTTCTTTTTTTCTACCATGTTACTGCACACAGCTCCTTTCTTTGCCTTAAATATTATCTTTTTTTTTTAAATTTATTGGTGCAGAAAGGTGCCAATGTGACAATGCTGAGGAACTGGAGCCTCCTTTGTAACTAGAAAACTGTCATCCCATAGGCTGGAACAGAAGTGAAATTTGTTCATACAATCCAATGCCACCAATATGACAATAACCTACTGTCACTCCAGGAGACCATGTAAACAGGTTTGGGGAGGTACTCCTGTGATCCATAGCAAGAAATTGTAGCAGACTATTTGGGGAACTGGGGCTAGTTCCTGCGCTAGTTTCCTGGAAGTCTTTAGGCAAACACTTCATGGCACCTTATCTCTGTTCCAAACCTGCTGAGTGGTGATAATGACAACAGTTTCTGACGTAAAAGTATTTCAGCTCTAGATTGGCATGCTATTCTGACGATAGGTCTCTATAA